CAGCTCCCAATAAACTACATTTCATTACATTATTGATTTCAATCTAATTTAAATAAATTAAATAATATTATTAGGTGTTGGAATTAATTCGTAGCGTTTTTAATGAAAGAATGTTATTTATTTCACATGAGCATTAAAAAATACATTAATGAAAGTACTTCCCATCACTTGTAAAACGCTACGAATTAATTCCAACACCTAATAGTTTCGTTTAACAATGTAATTCTTTTTATAAAAATAATTAAACAGTAATATGAAAGTTTATGAAAATATTTTTCATTCTTTTTTGCTTCTTAAACTAGAGAAATTTTTTTATAGAGAAATTTTGCAGTTATTGAATGGACACATATTTATAGAAATAAAAATTATGCACATTTTTACAAGTTAACAAATTTATTAAGTATCTCGAATGAGTAGAATATAATATTATTCAATTTCAATCCAGTGCTAAATTAAAAGATGCATTTTAATAACTCAACAAATAATAATTAATTTGCTTATAACATAAAACACAAAAAACAATTTAAATTTATTTAAAACAATAAACGTTTTAGTTTTCATATTTTTGTTTCAAATTTTATGTAAATTTCATTTATTCAATTTTCATTGTTTAATTCTGAAAGGAAATATATAAGAATATAACTTTAAGTATATACAGGATGTCCCGTAATTCATCCGACAACGCTCGTGGGTAGAGCGACTAAACTGAGTCGAGAAGTCCTTTACTATTTTGCAATTTTCGCAATAGTTAACAAGATATTAATTAATAAATATTGCCGAGTATTGGTCTTCAATAATTTTTTTCTCATAGAACTCTAAAAATTTTTTTAGAATTTTTTATCAACTTTTTAGTACTGCATTTTCTTATTTTTACCAACATGAGAAAATTCCAATACCAACGGTATTAAAAAATTCTGAAAAAATTTATGAAATATGACAGAACTTTATGAAAAGAAAATAAACAATTTTTGTCTCTTGCAGATTGTCTGTAAAGTTGATAGTATTTGAGTAAAAAATTATTGAAAACCAATATTCAGCGATTTTTTGTAAATAATATCTTGTTAACTATTGCAAAAATGGTAGAGGACTTTTTTGCTCAGTTTAGGAAAGATTATTTTAATTTCAAATTACTATGATATAATTTTTCTTAAAAAAAAATTAAAAAATAAAGTTTTTTTTAAATAAAAATTGAATATATATATATATATATATATATATATCCAATTTTTATTTAAGACAAACTTTATTTTTTAATTTTTTTTATAAAGAAAAAATTATATCGTAATTTGAAATTAAAATAATCTTTGATAAAATTTATTATTGAACGATGAAGATGCCGAGTATATTGTTAGACAATATTAGACAACATTAGACAGTTTTTAGAATCAACATATATGACAGTAATAAGCTGTCAATTGATAGTTATTTATAAATCACATTGGATTGCAAATCCGAAAAAAAGTGTCAAATCAATCAATATCATGTAACGTGTTATAATGCTACAAATTAATGCGATTTCATACATGTGATTCTGATTTTCATTTATTTGTACTCTGTGTTTACTCCAATATTATTATTTAATTGTTCCAAGTATTTTCCATCAGAAATAATTATTACACGCTCGATAAATTTCGCGTCATTTACGATTGAAAAGTGCACGTACAAATAAAATACCAACATACACAAATATAAATAAAATGCCGGGAGTGCTGAATCGAAATAAGCGTTAATTAATGAGTACGATTGCAATGAAGTATTTCCTCATAGTATAGTTATATGGAAATCTTTAAACAAACACTAATGAAACAATGACAAGGCAATGAAGATTATGGTGACTAGCTAAATGCACTTATTTTTTATTTTATATATATATATATATATATATATATATATATATACCTAAACAATACAAATTTATAATATTTGATATTTGATATTGATGTGCGTGTATTTAATTATTTTCTATGTATTTTATTGATATTATGAAACAATAGATTTACCACATTAAATTAATCTGTGCACATATGTATGTAGAAAATTAACAAGAAATTATATAAACAGTAAATTTATACCTATTTGTTTATATTTTGTAAATTTAATATTGTATTATATTTTATTGTGGTACATTTAATAATTATTTGTACATATATTTTACGTCTATTAAGTTGGCACAGTCAAACGCGATATATACCACATTTTTTTGCTATTTTTTTGCTCTATTCCCGATTTTTTTTGCTTACTGTTTAAGTCGAAAAATTTGACCAAGAGTGGCTGTGCTGGCTCGCGTACAAGAGTAAAGTATCTTAAAGCAATTAATTGCTGAGCTCATTTTGGTCTCAAAATGTTTGTAGAATTAATTGCTTTAATATCCCAAATCGAAATTTGCAATAAATTTAAAATCGGAATATTTCTAGAGCAATTAATTCTAGAAACATTTTAACACCAAAATTAGTCCAGCAATTAATTGCTTTAATGTACTTTACTCTTGTGTATGAGCCAGCACAGCCACACTGTTGATCGAATTTTTCGACTTAAACAGTGAGCAAAAAATTTCAATTTGCTATATTCTTAGAGCAATTAATTCTACAAATATTTTGAGACCAAAATGAGCTCAACAATTAATTGCTTTAAAGTACTTTATTCTTGTATGCGAGCAAGCATAGCCACACTCTTAGTCAAATTTTTCGACTTAAACAGTGAGCAAAAAAATCGGGAATAGAGCAAAAAATTAGCAAAAAAATAGCAAAAAAATGTAATAAATATCGCATTTGATTATGTTGAAGTGGCTGTGCCAATTTAATAGACGTATAAATTTTTAATACACTAATGACTTATATAATATATATTAATAACAAAATTCTTAACTTAAATTATTAAGACCGGTATTTATACTTTCTTTTTATATTTAAAGTCTTAAGTACAATCTTAAGATGATGAAATCAATCATAGAACTATAGCATCTGAAGACATCACTTAAAACGTTTTGAAATAAGAATGAACCATAAATGCTGACTCAAGATTTATTTTAATAAAGAAATTCTGATTTTGTATTTACTTGAATAAATGTAGTACATACTACAAAAATGGTGCAAAAATAGTAAAATTAGTATTATAATATAAGATACTAAAATAATTCTCTAATTGAAGGAAATTAATGTTTGTTTTTAGGGTTCAGGTAAAATATGTGCACTCACACAACAGATAACACTGGCAGTGGATTGGATGAAGACATTATCAATTAGTGAGTCAATTTATTGCATACATGCATAATTAGTTTTACTGCCAATTATGAAGATTTAATTGTTATCATCTTATAACAGTTTCCCTATAAACATTATTATTTATATAAACATTATTCAAGATTGACTAAGATTTTAACATGATTTTTTTCTTCTAATTCTTTTTTTCTATATTTATTCATAAAAGCTTCATTCATAGAAGATTAGTTAAATCTCATTCAGTTTTAATCATCAATATTTACAAAATAGCTGCATGACATATTTGTTATTTGTAAATTTGTAAATTTGTAAATTTTTACAAATTTTTTTTGTTTATGGATAATGCTATAATTAACATTAAATTTTCTTTATATAATACATATACAATGTAAAATATTTTAAAAAACTAATATTAACTGCTGTTTTTTTTACTACAACATAAAAATTTTGAAGAATATTAATATGTGAATTATTTTTATATAAAATTACTCTATCACACATGCAAGATATTAATCACGATCGTAATTAAAAGAGTGATAAATAATAATAAAATGACTATATTCTGATTAAATATAATATTAAATGAAAACGCAATTGTTCTACTTTGTACGTGTAATCATCTGTTTACAACGTTTATTATGGAAAGGCAGATAAGTAAATTAATCTATAAAAACATTCAAAGGACTGTTCGAAATTTTTACCTGTTCTCTCACTCGGATCCGTCCGGTGTACCACGTCAGCAACATCATCTTTAGCACGAGCACGCATGACCACCAAGCATATATAGACCACCATAGCTCATCTTTCGTTTCCTCTGCAGTTGCGTTCGCTAGCATTTCTCCAAGGCGACCTTATCGTCCTTATCTGCTTAATGTTCACTTGGCGTCCACGAGGAAAGCCGACACGTTACTGGCTATGTAGTCTTGTCTGAACTGGTGAGGGTTATTAGCAAGTCAAATGTATAAAACGGTGATAGGTAACTTGATATGTAGGTAGTCGAGCGGGAAGGTTTAAACGTGAATATTCGTGTTGCGAGACATGCACTGCTTTAAATTAAGTACATAGATCGTAAGATATAATTTGCTATCAGCTGCAATACTATATCGGTAAAAATAGATAGCTTCATTTGATAAAGAGGTCTGAAATCTTGAAGGCCTACAGTCTTGAAAAGAAATTCTAATCTAAGATTTTGAAACAATTCCTTCTGTGAAACAATTTCTTTCTAAGGCATATTTTTTATGTAATAAAAAAAAATCAGATTATACATACGATACATAGATATCTATAAGAATTTATGATTTTTTATTAGAAAAAACTTTTATGATTCGTTAATTATAAACATGTCATAATTTTATATTGCAATTATTTTCTTTGTATTCGATTCTATGCCGTAGAGCAGAAAATTTTCTAACAAATTGAATAATGCACGTATTTGTTATTTAAATAAATTCGAAGTACATTTTGAAACATTTTGAAACATTTATTTGTAAAATTGATATACAGAGGGTACAATATTAGTGTTTATGAAACTTTTCACGTTTGTCGTTACAATCTGTCACAAATTAAATTGTTATTTAAATTGATTGTATTATTATTGCTTACACAGAGTTTTATTGCAATAATATTGTACAATAAGTGGATGAATTAGTGTTTTACATTTTTTGTAAAATTCGTGCAACTGAATAATTTTATATATATATATATCAATTCATATTAATATATACCATTTCATCTTTATTAAGATTTAATGAATAAAAGTGATGAGAGTTGTCGTTCCATTTTGCAATAATATTTTTTTTCCATTTTTGAAACAAGAAATTTTAGTATTATCAGTAAAATTCTATATATGGGTTATAAACGCCATTGCGCGATATTACTTTTTTTAATATTTGACATCCTTGATACCCAGATTAAATCGTTTCCGAGAAAAAAATCTGTGGCGACGATATTCGTTTCTTTCCACCATTCCTCTTGAAACTTGACAGTGAGATTTCGATTAACGGAATCAGCCATCTGTCGAAGCCCACCAGATAGATTAAAGAAAATATCTAATGGAAATGGTGTTAATTCTGCCATTACTGCCCACAATGGATTCTGACTATTTCTGCGTTTCTTTGATCCTAAAATCTCTTCATCCAAATATTCGAATAAACCTTCCACAGTTTGCTGATTGCCCCATACTTGCGTCAAAGGCGGCCACAGCCAGTCATATTCTAAATTAAAAAGGATTAAGTAGAAATTGTTATAAACGTTTATTAGCTGAAAAGTTTCAAAGAATTTTAATTAATTAAATTTGTAAATCGTAAATTAATAAAAATTATAACAAAAATGTTTTACCGTTTACTGTGTGCTTGTCACCATAACAAATGATTAATCTCTTTCCGCCGGCCCAAATGTCATTTAATGTCGGTCCCAGACCTTCAATCCCTCTGTCTGGTTTCAGGATTAAACCTTCGAATTCTCGATGTAAAATAGATAGCAGTTTCCGATGTCTGTTTGGCCTACCTTCGAAGCCCACGGGAAATCTATTTGTTAATTCTTACATTAATTATTACAAATTTTAATTATATATTATGTGAAGCATAATTATTAATAACGTTTTTATGACAAATAGCTAGATATACAAAAAATAAAGATCAAAAAATAAAGAGCAAAAAATAGAAACATAAAAAATAAAAACAGGAACATTTTCTACTTTTTTAACATATTAATAAATATGAATATAAGCAGCTAATTAAGATTATAGCATTATTAATTTAATTATTTTATACAGGACGTTCTGTTTTTAATTATATATTAAAATACATAAAAATGACTACATTTACAAGAAAATATTTGAGATAAAATTTACGTGATCTGAAGGAGGACAAATAATAATAGAATTAATTAAAAAAAAAATAGATTTTTTGAAACCATATATAAATCATTGTCATTTTTTAAAATAGAATTGTATGATTATTGTTATCATATAATTGTATTAAAAATTATCTTTATATTATGACCTTAAAAAACGATTTTTCGAAAATTGATTTATTTATTCCTTTTCTGGCTATGTAATTTTTATCTCAAATCTTTTTTTGTAAATGTAGCCGTTTTTTATGTTATTCCAGTGTATCAATCAAAATGGACTTGCTGTATATTTTAGTTTTCGCAATTTTCTCGTAATTTCTTTGATGACCATTTATTTGAATTTTACGACCATTAACACGAATTCAATTTACAACGTACGCATGCTCTCGCGCGTGAATTTAAACTGTACAACGATTTATTTCGTGTTAACCCTGGAACATAATTGAAAAGCACAGGCAATAGGAACAGAAAATAACAGATTTCCATCTAAAAAATCGTGTATTCTGATATACGGTGTCTGATAGATTGAAATTTATTTCCTATTCCTATTACCTCTGTTTTTCAATTGTGCATTAGACTTTACTCACCTATGAAAATCCATAATGATAACTTCACCTCTCGCTACATCCAGAAAGTCCCTTACATCCTTTAAAATCTCTGAAAGAGGTGTGATGCGGATGACGTCATGATTGACCCAAAATCTATTTATATGATTCCCGTCTTCGTCAAGTGCAGTGCCATTTGGTATTGATGGGTAATATCCAACTCTGATGTCTAGATATCTAATACCATGCACCAACTGGGTCCAAACATCACGATCTTGTGTCAACAAGTATCGCTGAAAGGCGTCCCGGCGCGTTAGATCACCGTGTTTGTAACAACCAGAATTATGTGTCCCAGGTATCATCAGGCTGCCGATAGGAAGCATGCCGATTTCCCTTCTTTAACAATACAGAAAACATTATTTGTGTGTTAATAGCTATTAATTCTTACAAAGAATTACGTGTGATTATTACACGGAAAAAAAATGTTTGGTTGAATTAACTGGAATTCTGGTGGAAAATGAATTCTAGTTGAAATAACCAACATTTAGTAGATAGATTTAATCCGAAATCTTGTAAATTTAATTAGAATTTTGGATCGTTCTTTTCCATCAGAATTCTAGTTAATTTAAAACATTTTTTTTTGTGTATGGTCCGTCAAATTTATAGTATCTATAATAATAAATAATTACTGCAAATATATTGTATCTTATCGCAAATATATTGTATCTTATCGCAAGTATATTGTATCTTATCAGTAACAAACTGTAATTTAATTACAGTTTATTATTGATACAATCTAATGAAACTGTAATTTAATTACAGTAAATTTTATCCAATTAAAAGATTATCTAAAAGTAAAAGTCAAATTAAAGATTATCTAAAAGTAATTACTTTAATTAAGTTCTGTATAAGAACATATCAATTTTTATTGCTTGATTTAGTCTTTCTATATAAATGTTTTAAAATATTTAAACAGCGTTTTCGGATATTATTTAAAAATTATTTTAAAAATAAATGATTTTTTTAAACAAAAAGTGATATTTCAATTCAAAACTTTGAAAGTACAAAATTAGTACCTTAAATCATACATCCAAGTCGGCCAAATTTGCAAGCAAGACATGGAAAACATATGACTATCTTTGTAAAGAATAGCATAATAATCGAGACAATGTGATCCTGGAAGCGTCGCTCCATCCTTCGTGTCCCATCCTCCTGGTAACGGCGGACGACCGACTGTAATATTTGTTCTGTAGTATCCCCGAGGACGTTGTAACGAAGTCAGGATCAGTTCAGGCTTGTCTGAAAGATAGGATGAATAGAATCGTGGTTGCGTGGACAAATTTTTTGGTATCTAAAGTTCAATAGCTTTACGATGAGAAAATGTGATAAGGGATGAATGCGTTCGATTTCACGACGATTCATTCTGTAAGATAAATCGGATTGGAAACGATTCAAAACTATCGAGGGATTCATTTCGAGCGGATCAATGTTTCCAAATTGAATGCGATAGGCGGAAGAGAGACTTAGCCAACAAGTTTTAACGACGAACTCAAAGCGTTTCAACGCGCTTAAGCTGGTGATCTGTACTAAGCTATCAATGAAATATATACGAAAGCAAAACAAACTTATATATTTTCAACTTATATACTCATCAACTTTGTTGATAAATTTTAATGAAATAGGACAGATAAGAATAAATTTAATTAAGTAAATTCTATTTTCGGTCAAAATGAATCTTGATAAAAATTTTGGTGTGAATTTATATCTATATTCAGTTCTGCAAACCGAAATGTTTTAAATCTTGAAACGCAATCATAAACAGAATTAAAGTATAGTAATATCACATATTAAATTGACAAGTAATTTAATAATTGATACTAATAGCATTTTATAAGAATCGAAATGACTGAAAATAGGATTTTTCTTATACTAAGATTCTTACTTAGATTTGTTAAAGAAATTTCTCACATAAACTAAATAAGAATTTTGAATAAAGCAAATTTATAATACAATGTTTACAAGCTGTCATACATATGTCTTGTGTTTTGTAATAAATTATAATAATAAACATTATATTTTTGATATAATATTTAATACAGTAGTTAACTTATAAATATTATAAAATAAAAGGTACGCGATTGTATAATCACTCCCTTTGGTAGCGAAATACAATACATAAGAGAATCAAACAAAATTTATTACTATGTGCCGCTAACGGGTCAGCAGTGAACACCTTGATTTGAGTATCTGAGTATCTTGTGTCCGCCGGACAATCGAATTCCCAATTTACTTCTAATTCGGCATCGACCACTTTATCGCTGGCAGCGATTGGTCTCCACAAAGAGGAAACTGTGACCCATACTTTTCCACACTGCCCTGCCAATGCTGAAAGCGAAATTAGGAAAATAGATTTAAAAATATAAGATGCGAGAGAAACAAATTATATTTCAAATTTGTATAAAAAGACTAGAAGAAATAACACTAGTTTGCCAATTTATATTTTTGGATTGTTGTCTGAACAAAGTTTATATATATAATAACGTGAGATGTTAAAAATGACGATTTTGAAAATTTTCGTAACGTTGTAACAGTAACAGTAAATTTTTCTATATTTTGTTAACTGTATATGAACATATCAACTTTTAACTTGCTCGAAAATGAAAAATCATATCGAAACAAAACTAAATGCATTTTAAAGCAAAAAGTTGATACTTTTGTGTGTTAATGAAATTTCGAAAAAATTTGTTACTAATGCTACAACGTCATTAAAATTCATTTTCCGTCTTTGACACCATTTTAATTAAAATTGTGACATAATAGCAGGAAAATAGATTCGTGTTCAGCAGTTAAAAATAATTAAAATATTAAAAATAGCTAAATATGTCAAAACAATTTTTTCGCAAATTAGTATAATTTTCGCGCCTTTCGAAACATTATGATTTATGTTAATGTATGTATCGCTTAATTGTATTTAAATACTAGAATTTAAATTATAATTTAAAAGATGATATTAATTCATGATATACATATATCTTTTTTATTAATAATGTATATATATTTTAACACACACACACACACACATTATACATATATACAGGGTGTCCTACCTAAAGTGACCGTTCCTTATATCTTTGCAGAATAAAGTGGAATTAAAAATTTGTTTAGATAAAAGTTGTATAACTTGATGAGGAACACATTTAATAGTATAATTGATTTTCTAAAATTCAATTTTCATGGTCATATGACTAAGATGAAAGTCACAGTCATTTTTTAAGTAGAATAATATATCTGTCTTTTTTGTGTGTGTAAAATTATAATGTCTCTAATTATTCTGTATAAAAGTAGAATTAAGGTAGAAATATTGAAAAAATCAATAGTTTTTGAGATATTTTCTATTTTATGTCAAAATATGTCAGAATAAAGTATAAAATATCTTATAAATTATTGATTGATATTTTTACTTTAAGTTCTATGTGCAGAATTAGAGAAATCATATTATGCAAAAAAATATTTTATTTAAAAAATAGCAATGATCTTCATACATATAACGAAAAATAAATTTTGTACAAAATTATATGTGCCTCATCAGGTCATACAATTTTTGCTTGAATATATTTTTTATTTGACCTTATCTTCAAAGATATAAGAGATGATCATACATTAAGAGGGATATCCTGTATAATATCAAAAGAATTAGGTAAGTTCTTTATGGATGAGAGAGAGAGGAGGGAAGGAGAGAGAGAGAGAAAATAAAGAGTAAATACGTATATACAAATATAAAAAAATATAGAGAAACGCAAAATTATATAAATATAAACAATATGATTTATCTTTATATTTTTTATATACTTTTATATACTTCATACTTTTTGTACAGTATTTGAATAAAAATTAATGTATTAATATTCCGTAATGTAAAAACATATTTGCTTTTTATTCATATATTTATATATTACTTTTAATAATATTTAATATTTCTTCAAGTTATTTAAAAAACAGTGTTTAAAAACACTTGCTTTAAACACATTATTTTGCATTTCTACTAAAATAATAAACGTTGTGCAAGAACTGTGTAATGAAACGCGATAGTTAGCTTAACCTCACCAATGTCACAGAAAACATGGAGAATCAGCAGAACAATTCCTTTCAGCATGATTGAAATGATGAGATTTCAACCAAAATTCTTTGTATACGGCCTCCGATCTTCCGATGTCAGCAAATATTCTGCACTTGTGTTTTAATCAAACAGTCTCTGATTTTTTCGAGCATAACGGATACGAGAGTCTCAAAATTTTCTGAAATTTTCATAACTTGTTAATACAACTATGTTGCCGTTATAAATCTTCATTAAAAAATAATTATAAATAAATTTTCTTTTGAAGAATCAAGAATATTTTCTACAGTAAAAGTTGAAGGATCGTAAGAAAAATAATAAAAGATACAGAAAAAAATTTTTGTAGGAAAATATATCAAATTTTATTTTTATATTTTCGACTGAAGTTTAAGCAGCAGTGGAATTCGCTATCACACAGATTTATCTATGTCATTGATATAACATCATTACGTTTTGAAAATTTATTCCGTTCTCTCTGTGAGTGAAAAATTATCCTACAGGATAAATCGTGGCGAATCGGATCAATATAAGTTTGGAGACTGTTAGTCAACAGTTGTCGCCAATTTTGTTCCAAACGAGTTGTTTTATCATGCTAGTTAGGTACTTCCGCGCGCTTTCTCTTCCTCTAGAAACAATAAACAACAGTTCTGCATTGTGTGATCCAGTGTCAATCGACGATACAAGCGCAGAGATCGAAAAATGTTGTCTCATATAAAATGATCACAATCCCGAAAAAAAATCACGAATTGACTTTTGTAACGAAAAGATATTAGGTGTTGGAATTAATTCGTAGCGTTTTATAAGTGATGGGAAGTACTTTCATTAATGTATTTTTTAATGCTCATGTGAAATAAATAACATTCTTTCATTAAAAAACGCTACGAATTAATTCCAACACCTAATATATTGAAACTTATACAAATTATAATGATTTTTACAGTATATAGTTTGCTAAATCAATTTAATAAACTGATTATTCGTTTTGCTTCTCAGCTTCGAAGCGAATTGGATAATTTCCTTTTCTTGATTTTTTTGTTGAGCAACAATAAGAAGTACTGTTTACGTATTATTTTATTATATAACATTCTAGCAAATTTAAGAGTTTAAAAAATCAAGAGTTTATAAAACTTAATAACAAAATTTATTTTTAATTACTTTTTTATCAATGAACAAATACTGATCTGATTCGCCTTGGTGAACATCTCTATGAAACGCGTGCAGATTTAAAAATACATATAATCCTCCGCGCTTGGTAATAATGGTTCTTTCGATTGTCTTACTTCTGTCACGAGTAAGAGAATCTCTCGATCAGGTAAAACATTATCGTCACATCGAGAAACTTCGGAACACACAGAATGGGAATCGTATGGAAAACGAATTCAGATGGATCACTGCTAATAGTGCAGTGATCTTCGGCTGACAACCCGACGACTGAACGATAGGCAGTCGAACGAACTACTACCGGTAACAGGAGTAGTCTAATGTAGAACCCGCTTATGGGACGTTCAAGTACATTGCGCTTCCATCCTTCCGTCACTTCCTCGGACGCGTCAATTGGACATGAGGAGGGACCAGTACTCATTCGTTTTCCTTCTCTCTTCCCTACGTCCGCCTCTCCATCACATTGACTATCGGCTACGTGCGTACACTCGGGGTCGGACCCGGCCTAGCCTGTTAAATACCATTTCCTGCATACGCCGTCGCGGAATATATAGTTTCGAGGGAGAGTTGGCAATGGATGCGAATCCAACCGACCGATCGGTGGAGGTTGGGAGAACGGATTCAGTTTCTACATTGAATTATCGCCCTCGTGCATCGTGCACAGGGGACACTGCACGTCAGGAGGGTACGCGTCGTGAGAGCAAACAAATTAATCGTTACATATAGATCGAGGCTACAGATCGCGATTTATACCGATGACATTTTAGGGTATTTTATGGTAGAACTACATTTTGTTGGACGCGATTGCGACTATGTTACAAGTCGCATTTGTATAGGCTCCACTTGGCTTGTAATATATAGTGCAATATACAGCTTTGACCAAAAATATTAGGCACCTATATTTTTTCATTTATCAGGAATTCTTTTACCTACATTGTTATCTATCGGTTACTAACATTATACATAAATTTAAAAGATTCTTGAAAGGATTTACAGCAAATGCCATAAATCAATTTTTAAGCTAAAATTTTAAATGATAGTTAATAAGGTGCCTAATATTTTTGGCTAATGCTGTATATGTATGTGTATATATAATACAATATATGTATATGTTTTTGTACATTTTGTTTTGTAGAACTTAACTCGATTAATGTTTCAATAAAAAAAAGTCTACAAGATCTTCTTTTTAACATATTTTTAAAGATGATTATATTATTATTATTATTGGTTTATGCGGGATTTAAATGCGGGAATACAAATAAATAATTCATCAAGAACTCAATAGAACAGATATACAATTTATTTACAATGTCATGCTTTTTAAAAGATAATATTTCATGTTACAGTATATGTGGATGCAAGTAAAAGCTTTGAACCTCGATTGATGAAATCTCGATTATTCTGATCGCATTCGCATAGACGGGGTCACAATTTAAAAAAAAATAAAAATAAAAATAAATAAAATCTCGAATAATTTTTAACATTAGTATATTGATCACATCAATGAAAAGTAATTACATTTTTAGACATTAATTTAAGCATTTAATTACAATTTTATCAGCACTTTAATTGAATAATTAATTAACGATTAATTTTGAAGTTTTTTTAGTGCTTGTGAATACGATTACAAAATAAATCGTTGAAGAAAGATAAAAGTAGATATTATGTTTTCTATCCTTCAATCTTCAATAAATCTATAGTTTTGTATAATTTAATACTTTATTTCTATTGTAATAGATATAAATAAAACATTTTCAGGAAAGAAATTATTAGATAAATAATTTTCGTAGTTACAATACTTTTCATTGGTACCATCAATATCATTTATGTATATGTATATGTGTACTACGAAAAAAAATACATGTCGCTGTATAATCATCGGATATTAAATACTACATTAAATAAATAACATTATTACCTTGGCAGAGTTATATTACATGATTGAAGACATAGGTACAATATATACTTTACGCGTATTAACTTACAGTAACACTGTTCTTATTGATGTTCTAAGTTGACAATTATAATACATGAAGGACATTAATACGATTTGATTCGTTGAGGTAGATAATTTAATCAGTCTATGAAGCTGCTTTGTCGGTCGGTCAATTGTTTGTTGATAAATTTCCGTTCCGACGTTACATAAAAGAATCAATCCTATTTGCCATTGGAAGATCCTTACAGTCTTTCGTGTATATAACTGAGTTGCGCTGATTCCGATCTAAATAATATGATAATCTGATTTGTGATTGATCTATGATGAACACGAAATATATATGTAAAAAAAAGGATCTTTTAACAAACGACAATCAAGAGACGACCGAAATGAAAAGAATTGTATTTGAACAGATATAAAGTTAGGGAGGTTCTGCCTTTCGCCCGATTTCTGATTTTAATGACAAACTCTGTGCCGTGAACATACGAATTAATTCGTAAAATATACTTACATGATCGATTATTTTACCTATAAATTATAATAAATTAAGATAATTCGTACAATTATAATGAAATATACACTTTCTACACGCTAGAACTCTTGTTTTCCCCTGTCCATCGGCGAAAATGCCAATCGAAATTTCCATTCTCTCGGCTTTCTCGTCTTTTCAGCGAAGCGAGTCCTGCAAACGCACCACAATAGGCATCTCTATGAAATTATGTACATCCATTTTGGTTAAACGCGTTTTATTTGATTAATAACGCGTAACGTGTCTCTATTTAAGCATTTCATACGTTAATTTATTGCTGTCGAAAAGGAAATTATTTTATATGTTATGTGAGCAAAGTTAATAATTTATACTTAATCGATTGGCAGTCAATAATATACAGAGATATACAAACCAAAGATATATGCAAAGTTATTGTATCAAATTAAAAAAAATATATTTCTTTTAAGCTTGATTTGGTATGTCATCTTGTATATACATATCTTTACATAATTATAATTATAATTATATATTATTTAATATTAATACATAATAATACAATAACGCATGTTATTATACTATTATTATATTAATATTATTATACATATATGTATCATAAATGTATGTTGTATAACATTATATAATTATATAATTATGCATTTTATATGTATACATACAATTTATTCAAATTTACATTATTAGTATAATTATTTGTACTCTACGTAAACATTTAAAATTTATTTTGTAAAAGAAGTATAGATATCTATACTTTTAATATTTTGATAGATCTTTTTCATTATACTTTTAATTTCTACCAGTAATATATCTTCTCTAATTTAAGTACTGTAACATTGGTACCAGTGAGACAGCTGATACGAACCGTTCCACGTTACTTGAAACATGATATTTAAAATTGTATGTAAATATTGAGCTCTGACTCTAGACGTGCCAACAGAAAGATTGATAAAGCAAGCAGAAAAACTCTGTATTATCGTTACGATAGATTGTCTTGCTAATTCGCGCGTTGTGTCAGAAGATTCAGCAATTCATTGTGATCCATACTATTCAACGTATGTATATCGATTCCGAGGGCATTCGCGACACTTTTCATGTCTAGACCAAAGCTCTTGAGCAGTTCGATAAAGTCCATTTCCTCGCCCGTAAAGGGATTATGCAGCTTGGGGCAGCTATGGTTACATTGTGGCCAAGTACAGCGTTCTATCATACGAAAATGACAGTTTTCAATGCACTTCCGTTTAAATGATGGTATTACCGATCGTTGTGGCCTGATGCCGTTAAATATAGCCGTATGATTATTGCCGTTTACTTATAATGAATTTCGAAAAATTGTACAAACTGCATAAAAATTTAAAAAAAAGTTATTTTTTAAAATTAAAAAAAGTTATTTTTTAAAATTAATAACAAATATTAAATTTAATATTATCGTGAAATTATACGCAGTACCAAGTAAGTTTTCAATCAATCTATAAAATTGCATAAAATAACTCGGAACTATTCAAAGAATGTCGATTGTTATTGAGCAAGGTTCAAAACATGTTTGTGCATTACTAAACCGTACCAGTGTTCTTTCTTCGCTGGTGTTTCTCTTTCTTCAATCTCTCTTCTTTACTTCTTTCTCTTTCCTTCCTCTCTCTCCTTCTGCTTTTATGTTTCCTCTTTCGTCTCTTCTTATTTTCCCGATCTTGAATCGAGCCGGAGACTGGCTTTCTTTCCTGCATTTTGCCAATGGCAGACAATCGAGCTTTTTGTGTTTCCGTAGAGGATCCAACTCTGCTTTTTCCACCTTCGATCGAGGTACCATTTCCCTTTCTGATACCAGAACGCAATAGCTTTTTCAGTGACTTCCCGCACGGTTGATTGGTCTCGATTTGCGAGTGAGTACTGTAGCAGAACGAAAAACATTATTTCTTCGAGGTCTCGATCGTCATTGATCTCGATCTTCATTGATTTATTTACTAAGATGATTCCGAAGAAACTGCACTTCGATAAATATTTTCGCAAACAAACAACGCGGTATCGTTGAATATATTTTCAGCCGGCGATCATGCCACAACGAATTCCATTCATACTTACTTGTTGTGTTGGTTGTTATGATAATTTCCGATCGGCATTTGATCCCAACAAAACAGCGCTTGTGCAAAGGAAACCTCATCTATTTTGATCATCTTCCAATCTCTTTTCGTCAAGACGCTGTGACTAATGCAACTCGGGGCAAAGACCGCAGTAACATTTTCAAATGTCTGCCGCAGACTGTCGCCCATTTTATGTATGTAGTCCCATTGCTGCCTTGTAACTGGTGCAGCGACGTTGTAAGCTTTCATTTGGGCCTCATCAAATATCCATTGGAAGACAAACAACGGTGCTAGGATGTTAAATAATAGAAGAAGAAGAAGAGAGAGAGAGAGAGAGAGAGAGAGAGAGAGAGAGAGAGAGAGAGAGTTTTAAACTCTTTTTACGAAACATTACCATTTAGATACTATTGAAATTTTCATGATATGAGATGAACTCACCAGACAATGTTGGATAAAGTCGATATCCAAAAAAGCATTTCCATGGCTCGTTAGGATATCTAATTACGCAATTACGAGGCATCTGAGAGTTCCATAATTCCATCCCTTTTTGTATCGCATCGATCGGCGACAAGCCGTTTGGAGAGTAAGGCGCTCTATCGAGGAACCATCCGGAATCCGACACACCACGTATAGCAACATGTCTCAAGCCTGCGCGAATAGTTAAGTCTTATTATTTAATAATTGAATTATACATATAGTCAGTGATCGAAGAAAACCGAAATATTTAATAAAATAAATTGACAAGCTCAAATATAGAAGAGAATTCAATATTAATTTGAGTTAAA